CTTTTGAACTAGATTCTGCAGACTAAAGCTCACTCACACACAGAGCGTGTCTATTGTCTTGCCGTCTTTCTCCGCTCAATTCTCCCAAGACGTGGGCCCCACTTTTCCCACATCGCTCGCTCTTTCTCCGCTGGCAATTTTTGGGTCCGAGGTTTTATTACATTAACGTTTGCAATTTGGCGTAATCGGTTCTATGATTTATGGTATCTCCAGCTATCAGCCAAAAGATACACATCCCATCGAAGAGGGAGGCGAAGAGGTGGTTTCGCTTCCATTGAAGGCAAATTGGAAAGTATCGAGGGGAACTGGAGAAAAGTGTAAGCACAAAGTTCGTCAGTCAGACAGACTCAGACTCAAGTCAAGTCAAGTCGGGCAAGGAAATTAAATTGAAAGCCTGGCTGAAGAAAAGGAAAAGGAAAGGGAAGGAGGAGGGTGCACGGTGCAGAGCCAAAGATATAGACGTTGATGTAGACGGGGCCCAACCTACTTACCTACTCGAGTGTCTGAATGTTTGTGCATTAAATATGGCGTGGATAATAAAAGCAGCCGAATCAGCAGCGCAGCAGGGGCGGCACATTAGTGGGCGTGGCTGGTGCATGCTATATGCTACCTATACTACATAGATTACTATACCACCCACCCTCCCACCACTTGCAACTTGTCCTTGCCTCGCTCTGTATGTGTGCCACATGGTGTATGATGGATTTATGTTTAAGTTGCGTGCAAGCAACTTAATGGATTTTGTAATTTTCAGAAAAACGAAGGAAGCACACTCTTCTTTTTCGTATTCATGTCTACACAGAGATACAGAGAGATTCGAAGCCAAAGGCAAGGCGGAAAAAAAGTTGGCCAGAACAAACTATCTCGTAGATACTTGCGCACACATTCGGAATGGTTCATCCTCAAGTTTTCCCCCCAGCCGATGGCAAATAGAGAGACGGGCTGCCGTGAGGCATGAGCCGGGCTCTTGCGCCAAAGAATTGGAGCATGCCAAGTTATAAAAAATGTTGCTCGAGCATCATAATATATGCGGCACATAAGCATCGCAACGAGCCAAAACCGAGACTTCCTCTCAGTCTCTGTCTCTTTGGCGGGGGAAAAGTTGAAAACGAAAACAAACATTCGGGTGGGAGAACTTTTAAGGCAAGCCGAACTTATCATGCCCTGCAGAAGTAACCTTGGAAAGAACCAAGTATGAATTAGCCAACTTACAAAAGTCGAACTAAGCGAGGAAGTGGAAATTAAATGCCAAACCGGGTAGACAATGATTTTAAGTTACAGACTATTATGTAATAGAATGTATAATAGATGGATCCACATATTTAATGTATTTGCCATTCCAATTTTTTAAAAAAAAATTACTCGAAATCACTTATTATAATAGCTAATCAACCCGAAAACTAAGGAGTTCATCAAATTTGCGAATGTAGACAAGTATTTAAAGAAGAGGTAACATAAAAAGGAGAAGGCAAAGCCTGAGAAACGGAATATTTCACTCGAGAAAACTTTTGGCAATGCTCTTGACTCGGCTTATTAAATATTAATTATGCAACTGCCGACCGAGTCGCATGGCGAGTGCAGGGCAATAGCAATAACAATGACAGTGGATGTGTATTTTTCCCATTTTATGGCCAGAACCACTTGGCCTACGGAGACGAATTGCCATTCGAGTGCCACTAGGCGTGTCAGCTCATCCAATTCCGGGCTCTTCCATAGTAATAGCCACCTCTATCATCATCATTATGGGGGAACTGTTGACAAATTTGGGCATTTGACACGAAACACGATACATTTGCATGTATCTATATCAATTCGTATATCCCAAGTGCTGTCAACGAGCGGAATGCGCAACAATCTACGAATCTAGAGAACATCTATTTAAAAACAAAAAGCGGATCACGTGGGAGCTGCAGATACTTGCAGCGCACTTACAGATCCGAGTACTTTGGGCTTTGTCTACTATCCTCACGCATTAGCAATGCTAATTGTGATTTCAGTTGCTGACAAGTGATCTGGCCAAAATCATCTTTATTTTTATGGCAAAACTCGTTTGTGAGCCGATCATCATCATCATAATGCCCCTGAGGATCGTGGGCGTGCATCTATTAGCCCGCTTGTGTGTGTGCTGCCATCTTTTACAATGGATCTCGACTCGATTCGGCGGAGAAGGGAAGACTCGACTGGGCCTTTATCCAATTGCCAAGCTAATCGAGCGAACAGCAGGCAAATCGACTTTGCCAGCGGGCTGAATAAGATTTCAGATTTTCAACGGCCATCATCAAAATTGATCTGTAAGCCTAAGCTGTCGAGCTGCTCTAGATTTCGCTGCGGTCTTTTGGGATACACAATTTTTGATTTGATTTCGTTTCGGTTTCAGTTTTTGTGAGAGCTCAGAGCTCGGCAATAATTGCCCAGAGGGCGCGCCACAGACAACAAAGCATTTGTCATTATAAAAATTACATTTAATTATATTTATTTTATGCCAAAACAACAAATGCTCCCGCTCCCAACTTCCGTTCCAGCATAGTTAAAAAGAGCGACTCGATTCGGTTCGGTTTGGCTGGGTGTTGTTGTTTAGCAAAGCGTGCGGGAAATTCATTAGCAATATTTATGACTCGCTGTTTTGTGCTCCGACCTTTTCTGTACACTTTTTTTACACATTTCTACCGACTAATTTCCATGGCATTGGAATAGACAGACACACAAAGCAGCCAAAGCTACAGCAGCAACAACAAAATGGTAGATAGTCAGCGTCATTATTGTTACTCTCTGGCTTCCATGCAAAGCCCCCTCCTCCGATTTTCCCCGCCCTTTTCCATTGTATTTTGTTAGAATTTGTAGCGTTATTGTTGCTGCTGCTGCTTATGTAAACAATACCTTGTGAGTGTTAGTCACTTATTTATTGCTGCAAAAGTGCATTGAAAATTCAGATTTCAGCAGGAAAGGGAGATGAAGAGATGGGGAGATAGAGAGAATTCTAAATCAAAGCCCCGGCTCTTTTGGGAAAAATTCCATTCTATTATACACACGGTATCGCATTATCTGATCAGGCAAATTACGGCAACAAGTTGTTATTGCCAGTTCGGAAAATTAATTAATTGCCCTAACGGAAATCAATTTCATTTATATTCGAGTCCATAAATGCTGACTATAAGTAGATGTGATATATTTCGCATGTTTTCTGGCCATTGCGCATACGCCTGTTTGGCCGCTCATTAATCGCAATGTGTCCGCAATTTTTGGCCATAAATCTCACGCCACTCGATATTGATGCACAGTTTTAAGTATACCCACACATAACTCGGCTCCATTGTGTATAATATATTCATAGTGCGGTTGGTTTGGTTATTTTTCGATCAATTATTAATCACACAGGATTAGTGGTGCCGCCATCCCACCAAATCACCGATTGTTCGCTGATTGGTGGGGGTCATATTAAATTCGTATTAGGTCTCGAATCAACTTCCTCCTCCTCAGAGCTGATGAAGTCTTAGAAGTTGGTTTATCGTCTGCATAATTTGTCATATGCAAAGTGTGTGGTATCGGGAAAAGCGAGCTGAATAGATACATTTCACGTAGATACAATTCACACAGGCGTCGAAGTGAGGAGATATGGAATGGGGGTTGTCCTTGCTCCATTATAATCCGCATTCAAAGCCTTGTTTGTTCTCGGTCCCGCATATATTTACACATAAACTCACATTCACAATCACATCCATATGCATATTGAGATCCCGAAACATATCTTCGAGATCTGAACTTTAGTTATGTGCATATTTTTGCCAGCTCAAGCAAGCGTTTGTAATACAATTTCGGTTTGTTGTCAGCTCAATTTTCAAGTTGTTTCCCCTCCGCTCTCAAGTGAATTCTGGATAGTCTACTCGTCGTACCCTGTGTATCTGGGTTTCTGTTTGTTTGTTTGCCTTGCGGTTGCTGTTATTCCCATTTTGCTGCTGTTGCCTCTGTGTATTTAAATTTTTTTCGTACCCAGAACCCAACTACGCAATGGAGTTGCCGGCAGCTGGCCTTGTTGTTGCTGTTGTTGTTGTTGCTGCTGATGTCTCACTATGATAAGAATAAGTGAGTGTGTGCTACACTGCAAGAAACAACAAGAGCAGTCTGTGTTTCCCGAGGAATGACCCACTCTATTTACATTCTCTGCATATTTGCCAACGTACGCAATCTAAAATGCAGATTGCTTGGACAAACAACTGCTGAATGAACATCTTTTGGGATCGAAGTAGAGAGATTCAATGTGGTTTTTTGGTTAATTACCATTTTTCATTTAATACTAGCTCAATAAATTGGATTTATTAGAAGTGTATGGTGAAAAGCTTTCCATATTCGTAATTCTCAGTATATTTTGGAGCTCAATGTTTGTCACCCGCTTTTTCTTCTCACTCTCCATCGAACACATTTCCCGTCATATTTGCTTTTGATTTATGCAGTGTTGTTCAAGACCTTCGTGCTCCCCATTTCCTCTCGTGTACACATTTGCATTATGTTAAATAAACCCGAAAGTATTTCGACAATATCGAAATATTATTTGCATATCGAAAGAACAATAACTCACACGCCGGCCAAATATTTGACTTGTGTTCATAGCTTGAAATTCTAGCCTTTCTCTAACGAAGAAATATGTTTTTGTGAATGCATTCTAACATTCATTCGTATTGAGAAATTTTTATTATGATAGGAAAGCAAAAAGGTTGAATTTAAATAAATTTAATAATTTATATAAAAATTAAAATTATATTTTATGATTTAATACATAAAATAAACTTCTTCTCGAGAAATTTTTACAAAATAATTTCAGTAAGATATTCTAAGTTTAAGCCCGTGTCATATGGCCATACAAAAATGTTCTTCGAATTGAATTATAGGGTTAATTATGTTGATTATAGTAAAGGTCCCTATTTTATAAGAATAGATTTAATTTAATTTTAATGAAATGTATTTATCAACTTTTCCCTCTTCTCGTATCCTTGCAGTTAACGTGATTCGTCAAAATAGCCAACTACCAGGACCTGTTGGGCAGCCATCATCAACTGCTCATAGCCGCCACCGCCGCCGCCGCTGCAGCAGCCGCCGAACCGCAACTGCAACTGCAACAGCAACTGCAACTGTTGCCAGCAGGGCCGACGACACCAGCAGCCATAGCCCTTCAATCCGGCAATACCGCACTCCCATCGAGCCTACCATCGATCAATCAGATCAGCAGCGCCAACCAGAACAACAACAACCAGCAGGCGGTGTTTGAAAAAGCCATCACCATTTCGTCGATTGCGATTAAACGCAGGCCGACGCTGCCGCAGACGCCAGCAAGTGCCCCACAGGTGTTGTCGCCGTCGCCCAAGCGCCAGTGTGCCGCCGCCGTCTCCGTGCTGCCGGTGACCGTTCCCGTGCCCGTTCCGGTCTCCGTACCGCTGCCCGTCTCCGTGCCCGTGCCCGTCGCGGTCAAAGGCCACCCGATCGCCCACACCCACCAGATCGCCCACTCCCATCAGATCTCGCACTCGCATCCGATCTCGCATCCGCACCACCACCAGCTGAGCTTCGCCCATCCCACACAGTTCGCGGCCGCCGTTGCCGCCCACCACCAGCAGCAGCAGCAACAGCAGGCCCAGCAGCAGCAGCACGCGCAGCAGGTGCAGCAGCAGCAGCAGCAAGTGCAGCAGCAACAAGTTGCCTACGCCGTCGCGGCCTCGACGCAGCAGCAGCAGCAGGCGCAGCAGCAACAGCGACTGGCCCAGTTCAACCAGGCGGCAGCAGCAGCTCTGCTCAACCAACACCTGCAACAGCAACACCAGCAGCAGCAACAGCAGCAATCTCTGGCCCACTACGGCGGCTATCAGCTGCACAGATACGCTCCCCAGCAGCAGCAGCAGCAACATATCCTTGTGAGCAACACCAGCAGCAGCAGCAACAAGCACAGCAGCAACAGCAACTGCAGCTCGGCAGCAGCAACATCAGCGGCTGTGCCAGTAGCAACATCCGTTGCTGCGGTGCCGACCAGCGGCGGCAGCTTGCCGGACAGTCCCGCCCACGAATCGCACTCGCACGAGTCCAACTCCGCGACCGCATCCGCGCCGACCACGCCCTCGCCGGCAGGCAGCGTCACCAGCGCCGCCCCCACAGCAACAGCTACGGCAACAACAGCAACAGCAACTGGCACGCCAGCAACATCGGCCGTTAGCGACAGCAACAACAACCTGAACAACAGCAACAGCAGCCCCATAATGGAGAATCAGATGGCTCTAGCCCCGCTGGGACTTTCGCAGAGCATGGACTCGGTGAACACGGCCAGCAATGAGGAAGAGGTGAGTGACAGCTTCCATTTCTCTATCCGAAAGATATACAAAATAAGAGTGGGAAAGGGAAACATTGGGCAGCGAGAACGAAAAAGAGTTTGGCCCAGCAGCGAAATGCGACAAAAGTGACAGCTTGGGGAATATGGAATACGGAATCCGAATCCTGCATACTGAAATATGGCACGAAATTGGGTGGAGAGTCGCGCAAACTTTTCCGGCCAGCCGAAACTCTAAGTAGAGTACTAGAATTTGGGCTGAAATTTACATTTATGTACATAAGCAAGGTCCATGCAAATTATTCTGGGGATTTTCTTGGGGGGTTTGGATTTTAAAGAAATGCAAAGTTTAAAATTTGACAGCTTAAAGTATTAAGAACTGCTAAATAACTTTAATATACTTTAATATATATTTCCAAAGCATTTAAACACTGATTATAAGCTTTTCCATTTTAAACGCTTTATAAAAATGATTTATAGAGCTGAAATAAAAATTATTTGAGAGTTCATAAACTGGATAAACATCCCTTTCATTCGCTCGCTTTCATTTGATGCACTTAAAGACTTTCGCCTGATTTTGAGCTGCAATAGAGAGCATGATCGATATGTGCAGTGCTGGCCCAATATACAAGCACCACCTCCTTTTAGAATCCCCTGAAATAATGGTGCGCTACATCAACTGACAGCTCGGGCGTAAGATTTTAGCTCGGCGCCCTTTGTTTTTGGCCAAAAAGGGGGATAGCCTGCTGCTTTATGAAGCCGGCATAAAAAAGTGGGGGAGGGTGTGGGGGTGGTGCGACGCCTTTGCACTTGTGTAAGTGGCATGTGCATCTACTGCTGCTGCTATGTTTTGTTGTTGCTTACATTTTGATTATGCGCCTTGTCTTATGCTACACATATTTCACGCTGCTTTCCTTTCATATTTCTTCACAGCAGCATGCCACGCGTAATCCGCGCGGCACGTGCCCAACCACCCAACCCACTAGCCCCCCACTGAACCACCCTGTATGGGGTGGGGTCCTCCGCCCTTTTTGCGCTCCGCTGCACTGCCTTCATGTCAAGTGGGTACGTGGCCTTACACGCACACAAAAGGGGGGCTAAAAAGAGGGGGTCTACCACTACCACTACTACCAAGCGATGCGTTAAATTTGATTTTATCCTTGATAAAAACAAAAAAAAATGTTCTTACTTTTGTTTTACTTTTCTTGGCTCTACTACGATTATGGATTTTTATGTGCGCGTGATTTTGAGAAATTTATTGAAGTCCTTTTTATCGCACAGGTTGGTGAATAGTTTGGTAAAGGTTAATGGAAAAGGAAAAGTTCATGAAAAGGAATTATTTTAAAACCTAAAATAAAATTTGGAGTAGGTAAAATATATTTAAAAATATTTTAAAATCTAAGCTTATACCTAATCCAATATCAAACCATATTTAAACAAGAACATATTTCAAATACTCTGAGATAGTCTCTCTAATGTATTAAGGACCTTTTGCAGCCTAACTGCTGGAACTCTCCTCCGGAAATTCACTTGGCCCCACTTGCATTTCACCCTACACCACTGCAGTCTTGGCCAAAAAAAAAAGATATAAAGGCGAGAAAGATCCTGGGCGAAGGATGATAAAGCTGCACATGAAAATGAAAAATATTACCGACTAGGAGACTTAAATTAATCAAAATAAATATCAAGCCGAAAAGTAAACGAAGGCAATCTTGCTGCAGTGCGAGGGGATAAAAAGTAAAGATGGCTTGGGGTTGATGGTCGTTGACCTGGACCTGGAAAAAGAGTTGTAAATGCATTTCACCTTTTCCGTACCCCTCAATCTCCCTTTTCTCTCACTCTCCATCTCTCTGTCTTACTCACTCTCTGTCCTATTCATTCACACTGCAATCTGACTTCATTTGTATTTATGAGTATTCATTCTCGGCTCTGTCCTCAGTCCTCAGTCCTCCCACTTCTTCGGCTCCTTCACGTGTGTCCCTGTGTGTGAGAGCTGCATGAATTATTGATAAGTCAATTAAAAAAGTATGACAGCGGCTGATGGTTGGTAAATATTTTACAGAGACCTCAAGCCAGAGGGCCAGGGGAGCCCGGGATCCGAGATCCGAGATCCCCGCCCGATGCATCCTGGCCACGAATGTTTGCCTGTCATCTGCAGGCGGCAACATATTGCTTTTCTTTCATTTAAACGTTTTATGAGCCAGGAAGCCAGTTTCCTTCCCACAGCTTCACTGCGGAAAAAATCGGATTTTGATTAAGAACAACATCTTGAAAGGGGCAGGAGAAAGCGCAGCAGTCAGTGGAAGGGTTTCCTGGATTTTAGGTCGAAAGTTTTGATTTTAAATTTAATTTGAACTCATAATTCTACTATTTCATTCAACTATTATTTTTCCCGTGTTTAACTGCGCAGTAAAATTTTAGGGACTCCTTCTTAAGGATGAGGAAGCAGAAGAGTCCTGCCCAAGAGTCCTAAAACTGATGCAAAGTGGCCGACTTCTGGGGCCATCGAGCAGTCAAGTGTGCGCAACCTGCCATATAAAAGTGTGTGCGATGCAATCGAGTGACCCCTGGTCCCCAGTTCCCATCTCCCATCCAGATTCCACCTACTTGGCCCTCTAACTGCTCCGACTGCACCAACAAGTTTGTGGCAGCACGTCTCTGCTTTGTTTAAATGCAAAATGTGAGAATATATATAAAGTAAACTTAATAGAAGTTGTCACAGATGTCCTTTGGCCCGGTCGGTTGCCTGGGTTGACATCACATCCTGCCCAAAGTTGCGCACAATTAAACTTTTAACTTTTTGCCAGTTTGCTGAAGGAATTCGCCCCCTGGCCCCCCTACTTCTGGCACTTTTTATGCACATTCCACATTTTTGTCATGTGCACTCAACGGAAATTGCCATGTGCCAAAATGGTAGCTGCCTCAGCTTCCCAACTTCCCGGCTTCCCAGCTTTCCCCGCCTGCCATTTCCACCATCTACACACTCCCCTGGCAGCTTTGCAGTTTTCCAGTTTGTTGGCATTATTTTGTTTCACATTTTTTCAATTTGCTTATTTATTTGCCGCTGTTTGTGCGCAAAATTGCAAATAGAATAATGGCCAAAAGAATATCAAAGTTGAGAGTTTTGGCCACTAGGTGGCGCGCGTCAGACTGTCAGGCTGTCTAGCGAAACAGAAGGCAAAGTTTGCAGTTTCCCTGCCGCAACTGTTGCTCACCTACAATATGGCTATGGCTAAAAATATATAAGGAGAGTGGAAATGAGGCTAGAAATGCATGGGAAGGAAAGGGAAAGCTAGTGCCTTTTGGGCCCACGAATTCGGGCTAAACAGTTCACGCCCCCTTGGAGGGTGTATTCACACTCTCAGCCCGCCCCTGCAAACAAAATGCCAACTGGATGTATTTTATTTACTTATTTACATTTGCATTTTATTTGTCCTTGCTCTTTTCCGTTCTCCGCTAACCCCTCGAAATGCCAAAGAGTTGGGTTTTCCGATTTTTCCTACTTTTTCCTTGCCTTTCCTTTTTTGTTTTTGTTTTTGACAAGGCTTTTAAGCTAACATCGATGCAGTTGGCAAATTGCTTTACGTGGTCAAATGTTTTCGGGACCCGTCTGTGCCACTTTCAAATTCCATTTCCAATCAGGTACCATTCCCTTAACAATGTCCACTTTGCGGCCAAGTCCTTGAAGCATCTTGAGCGCCATTAGGCCAAGTCAAGTGCCAACCTTTAAGTTGGGCTTAGCTGACCTAGCTGCACTGAAAATAGAAAAGAATTAATAATATCTAAGGAGCAGTATAAAATTGGAAAACGGTTTTTCATAAATTAAAAATTAATTTGAAGATCATATCAAATTTTTAAGTGCATAAAAATATTCCAAAATTGGTTTTGTATAAAATAAATCTATTTCTAAATTTTCAAACCTTCTGAAAGCTCAAAATATTTCTTCCAGCGCAGCTAAAGACTTTATAAGATAAAAAACGATGAAGTTGCCTTTCTGGCTGCCAGGGAACGAGTATGGTGGCCTAATTCAATTTGGCTAAAGACAATTTCGCGCTAAATGAAATTATTAAAAGGTTGAGGCCAGCAAAAAGAAAGGAGCGAAAGGAGGCAGGGCTCTCAAGATGTTATCGGAAATAATTTGTGTAAAACTAGAGGTGCCAACATAAAAAGAATCGAAGAGTAGCTGCACTCAACTAAGGGTCGTTGGATCCAAGATCCCGGATAAGTAGTTCAAGTTAGTTTGAAATTGTTATGAGAAGCAGTTAAAGTAGCTTTAAAACTCGGTGAGTGGATTTGAATTTGACCTTTTCCAGCCAACCGGGGGAAATGGGAAATGGAAAATGGAACGTGACTTGTGGCAGCTGTCGCTGATTAAACTTCAATTAATAAAACAAACGCCATGCAACGTCACCTCGTGTGACACTTGTGCTCTTCCTATCGGCTTGCGGTGCTCATTATGCATTTAACATGCATTAACCTACCGCCGTGTAATGCAATTAAAAATGCCAGCTGAACACATAAATTACACGCTTAAATAATGCAGAAATTAATAAGTTCTGTTCGGCCTCGACTCCCAGGACCATAATTCTTAATTACCTATATATGCGTGAGCCAAAGGGAGGGGTGAAAGGGAAGAAAGTGAGAGAAAGGTAAATGGCTGATGGAAAAAAAAGGAAGAAAAGGAAGTGCAGTCATAAACCCTGGCAAACAGTGCAGGTCGGCAGAGTTTTCTTGGCCATGTTTGTTCAGCTGGCCTCCCCAGTGGGAAATCCTCCGAATTCCTCCGAGTTGCTTCTGCCATCATCATTAATATTCCCTTTAACTGTTTCTGGAATCGCATTTTCCCCGAGCTGATCTGAGCCAAGGCTGCTTTTCGGATTTGACCATTTTGCGGCTGCTTTTCCGCCTTTTGTTTTCCCTGCTTATTACGCCCGGAATATCGCACCCGGGAGCCCCATCTCTTGGCCCCTTAAAACTCATTAGTCGCTGCTTTGTCTCTCTCTAAATACAGCT